GCAGCTGATAAGGAATGCAGTGTGAAGCTAGCTCTCTCACACACAAAAAAATAGGACTGCCATATGATCCAGCACTTCCATTTCTGCATATATTTTTCTTTCAGCATTGACGCAAGCATACCTCAAACACTGATGTAGACATATGTTGTTTACATATACATTTCAAATGGAAATGGTAGTTTTACTTGCACTATACTATCTTTGCAGACTAAATGGCAGGTTATAAATTGGAAATATTCACTTAAGAACGTTTAATACCAAGTTAGGCATGCCTGTAATATCAGTATTTTGTGAGGCTGAGGCAAGAGGATTTCAAGTTTGAGCCCACCCTGAATGACTTAGCAAAGCTCCTGTCTCGAAATAAAATATAAAAAAGGACTGGAGCTGTAGCTCAGAACAAAGACCCTGGGTGCAATTTCCATTATCCAAGAAAAGAAAAGAAAAAAATCACAACTTTTACACCCAAGTTATTAAAATAACCTTCCAAATTCAGGAAAATCTGAGTTGCTTTTATTTTGTTACAATCTATCACTATTTTTCTTGTAGGATTATCACAGATAATCAACCATGTAAAACCAAAAGCTTTTTAAATATTGTTGGATATTATTTGAAGTCAATCAGCATATGATTCCAATGAACTATGCGCATTGTTTAATTCTCAGCAGAGTTAGATAATTATTTCCTGTACTTACACACTCTTTGAAACTGAAATAACATTAGCACCTTCCCCTTAGGCATTCAACCAATGCTTAGAACACAAGAAATGCTAAGCGAATGTCATTTTAACATGATTGCTTTCTTTGTATACATTATTACCAAAAATATAAAATGACGAAAGGTTTTAAAGAAACAAAGTTCAAAGAATTTACTGAGTGCTTTAAGTAGTATTTTATCTTTGTACCTGACAATACTAGCTATTGTGTAATAAAAACACAATTTACATTATTTTAAAGCAACACCTGAAATTAAGACTTCAGCATTGAAAACAAACCCATAACTCACTTGTATCTGTTATGGTCGAGATCTAAAATATCTCCTACAAATCTCACGTCTGGAGGTGGGGCCTGACTGGCCAAAAAGGGCCAATCACTGGGCCTGGCACTTGGAAGGTTCCCCTCTCTCTGTGCTTTTTGTCTGCCATGCACTATCACTGTGCCTGCTCTGCCTCAGTCTGCCAGCCATGAACTAAATCCCCTGAAACTGTGAACCCAAATAAGCTATTCCTATTAGATGTGTCAAGTATTTGTAATGGCAATGAGAACGCTAATATACTGTTTCACCTCGTCTTTTTTTTTTTTTTGCTTTTATTGATATTTTTAAAAGCACTTGGCTATCCGATGGTGACTTCCCACGTATGACATGATAAATCTAGGTGACTTGATAAAAATAATAGCTTCTATTTTCATTTTAGTTTTCAAATCAGAAAATTAAGAAAGAAAAATGGTCATAAAGATTGGAAAAATATGAAACATTTTTTAAAAATACATGTTATTCGGTTTTTCTGAGACAGGATTTGTCATCAACACTATGATTCTTCCTTTTTTTCTTTTCTTCAAGCTACAAAGGCTCTGTATCACCTACTAGCCTAACACTACTGGTATTTTCCTAGAATTGATCTTCAACTGCCCTGAAATGCAATGCCTCCCAGTAAAGTACCACTGCATCACTGTGGACCTTTACAGACCCTCTTCCATAAAAAGTAGTGCACTGACTGTTTTTCCAGCTAAGCAAAATAACACCCTGGTGAAAAATACCCGGATGAAATGATTTAATACTTTCAAGGTAACTGATGAGTAAGTAAAAAAAGAGATGTCCAAGGAGATTGTGCCCCTTAATTCAAAGCTAAGAAGAAGACATTATGATTGTTGTGTGTATTCTATTAATAGGAAAAATTCATGAATTGTCTTAAAAAGTGAAAATTAGAGAATTGAAATAAATTCCTAGGAAATGTTTTTCAATTAATTTTTATAGGTAAACCTTTAGATCTACTAGCTACCAACTTGGCTTTTGCTTCTTTATTTTGTTTTGGTTTTTTTGAGACAGGGTCTTGCCATGTAGTTCAGACGGTCTTGAACCCACTATCAGGTTGGCCTCAAACTTGTGGCAATCCTCCTGGTTCAGCCTTCCAAGTGCTGGGATTATGGCATGCACAACTACAGTGGAACCAAGCTGGCTTTATTTTCTTCTTACAATACTTTCGACACTACTTGCAAGACAAGGTAACCCAAACTTGTGCTAACATGGTATTTAAAACAAGTGTAACACAGAAGACTGTTTTCATCTGTAGCACTAATATTTGGCTAAGTTTCAGTGAATCACTCAATTACTCCTAAGCAAAATCAGAGGATACATGAAGACTACATTAGCAACTCTGACTTAACTTCAATGACAAAATATTTAGAAATCTATGACTACTCAAACAAGACTTCTCTACAATAGAAAACTCAAATTTCTTGTGGCATATCATCAACTTTAGAAACGGTCCTCACAGATTAGGTGACTAGTGGCTTAGTTTTCTAACATCTTTAAGATTTGTTGTGCAATGGAGTAATCTTAAGATATAACCTTCATAAACAAGCTCGCCTGTGAAATCAGTGAGAATTTTGCTAAGATAAGCATGGCTCAGAAATCACTATGACAGTCTGACGAGGGCTTGTCACAAAGAAGCAACAGCTTTTCTATTAGTATTTCCAGCACAAGATTCAAAAGGAGGACCAACTGCACCTCTCATCAAATAAATCAAACTGCAAACTTACATTATTTAAACATTAACTTCATAACCATCTTGGAAGAGTAAACTATCAGTTCAAAAATTTTTAAGTGAATCCAGACCAGTGAGTGCTTTAGTAAACCATCATTACATAGTCCCACTAAACACACATGAAGTTCAGGAATCACACAGTACCATGAAATACTCTTCTTCCATTAGACTGTAGCTTTTTAAACTGAGGTATAAGGTATAAATATATCTGTTTATCAGATGTGAACTGGAAATAGCAAACGTGTTTGAGCAGACTAATTGGCTACCTTCAACATATTCCAATATAATGCTTATCCATACACTTAAATACACATGCAAGGTCCTAAAAATTATTATACAACACACAACACAGTACTGGGCCAGCAGGTATCTCCCTATAGTCCACAACATCTACCAAGAGGGCCAAGTACAGAAAACCGTATCATTATTGTACATGCATGATCCCTGCACCATGTAAAGCCATGAAGTATAAGATTAGACCATCAGAATAGTTCACTTTCATGATAAACTTTACAGGTATCTAAACATGAAAATTATAAGGTGCAACTGAAAGACAGAGTGAATGTTTAAAATTTTAAAATTTACTACAGCAAAAGAAACCTGAACCTTAGTTTCCCTTGAAATATTTCCCCTCACTTCAAAAACACTTATCCTATTATTCTTGCCCCTTTCTGAAACAGTTCTGTGAGTCCTCTTTCAGGAGTCTCTAGTTATACTATCATGACTGCTTCAATGTCTTTGATCATTTCAAAGTGTTTACATCAATTGCTGTCAAATACTGTAAAACATTACGATGTGTCCTCATCACCTTACTCAACAGACATGGCATCATGTAACTTCTGGCTCTGCCTCAAAGTCAAAATGACCAGAATGTTTTGAATCAATTCAGGGCATCAAAACAGCCGCAACACCACAACTACTTCTGAAAGTTGTAAGAATGAAGGAGTAAATATGTTTGATGTGAGGGGGAGCAATATCTTTCACTGTCATAAATGTTTAAAAATTAAATAGTTTATTTTTTTCTGTTTTTTCACTTTATATTTTGATCACACAGTGTAAGTATTTGTTTGTTTAGTCAGGGTCTTGCTGTTTGCCCAGACTGCAATCAAACTCCTTGGTCAAACAATCCTCTCAGTTCAGCCTCTCAAGTTGTTGAAACTACAGGCTTATATCACTGTATATGACATTTAAACTTCACATACAACAGCTAACAGTATATGTCACTATAGGTATTTCAGTCAAAATAGTAAATGCTTCTTGGCTACTGGTCAGAAAGAGAATGTTAAAAGTTCAAACATGAAGTTGAAGAGTAAATGGTAATTGAAAAAATAGAAGTTAGTTTCAAAAGGCAGAAAATGCAACACATAAAGGATTAAAGTAAGTTTGAGGAGTTTTTCGGGCTGAAGAGACTCATGAACATCAGTGCGGAACATAGGTAGATGCGCAAAAGAGCATGTACACTATCACAGCACTAGAACATTGCAAGTTTATCAAAGGACAACATAGCATAGCATGAAATTCGTTTCAGACCAAAGACCAGGGAACTGTGGGTTCTACAGCATTAATCATGGGAAAGCCCTGAGTCTCCATTAAACAGAGAGGCAAAAAGATGCAGAAACTGGTACCAATCCAATCAAAAAGATACTGGTGGAGTGAGGAGAAAGGTGACATTTCAACATTGAATCCCATGGCCAGGTGAAATACTAGGCATATACAACATGCCTTATTAGTGTTTGCAGAATGCATCAGTAGCCCCAGGAATGTCAACAGCTTTTCAGGTTGGCAGGTAGGTAGGTTCAACAGTCTATCCAAGTTACCATCTGCCACCTGCAGACAGTGGCAGTGATGCTCCTCGTGTTACCCTCCCCTAGGCCACGTCAACTCCAAAGAAGCCCGCTCTATCTCCAAATTGAAACCAGTCTGACACAAGGTTATCTTCAAGGGGTGTTCAAATGGTTACTCAAAGAAGGATTGGTTAGGGTTCTCAGTGCCACTGAATAGGCCAGAGAGGCTGCATCACAACTTCCCAATGATGTTCACACTTGCAAAAAGTGTGGTTTTGGTGGGGACTTTTTTTTTTTATATGACTATAGTTAGCTCATTATGGGCTTCAGGACACTTAAAAGAACTTAGTAATAGCAAACACTTACATACTATTTACTACCTATTTACTGCCAAGCATGTGTAAATATTAACTTGCTTAATGAATGTATGTATAACTTTTGCCAATTTCAGTTACCTGTTCAGTGGTTTGCTTGGTTCCACTAAAAGTACACCTGCTTTTTCCACTTTTTTCCTGCAAAAGATGAAGAGAATACGGTTAGTGAGCAGCACAAATGTTTTATATCACTATTTGATATTTTCCAAACTCAAAGAGTGTCACAAGGGCTTCCCTTAAAAGGATTTAATACACCATCTCTACATGTGCTCCTAATAAGGGGTTTGAAAAACAAGCAATAGTTTCACAGGAAGTTAAATTGACACAGTAAACACAGACACAAGAAAACAATTTAGGAGTTTCTGATTCTGAATCCTTCTATGTTCGATATGATTTTTCAAACTATGTTCCCACTGAAAATCTTTTTTTACATCTTTTCCTCCAAGTGAAAAAACTGCAATTCTAAGGACAGGATGGGTTGGTAGATGTAGTTTTCAAAGGTTTACTTGGGGCTGGGGGTTTAGCTCAGTGGCATAAGCACTGCTTGGCAAACACGAGGTCATGAGTTCCATCCCCCATACCAAAAAAATAAATAAATAAAAGATTTACTTAAAATTTTAAAACTTTGTAATGGAAAGCACTTGTCAGGGGAAAAAAGTGTGTTGCTTAGTAAAGTCAGTGTTCAGAAAATGTATAGCCACCTTAGAGAATTCCTCACCACCCAGGCTCTGTCCTTCAATTCTGATTCCAGAAGTTATCGTGCTAGTAAGGTCCATAAATGATCTAGTTTATCAGTGTTTACACATGCTGATGAAGCTTACAAGAGACTGATAAAACCTTAATGTCCATGTATGTATTCACAATGAAAAGGTCAGACAGTCTGGACATCTACACTACTCAGTTTGACTAATACAGTCCTATTTCTTCAGTCAACAGCTTTTTACTGACAGTCAATATATACCAGACACAGCGATCTAACAGGAAGGTTCAAAACCTGACCCCAGCTGCAGTGGATTTTTACTGAACCTTTAGCACCACCTCTTTGTCCACTAGTCTGTCCCTAATCTATGCTGCCAATGTTGTGTAAACACAAAACACCTCTAGGTGTCTTTCTAGTTTCCATACTTTTACCCTTCCAACCTGTTATCTACCATGTATCCAGAGAAAATATTTTGAAGTATAAAATGGATCATGGTCAGCCCTACCAAAGCTGCATGGGTCTTTTCATGGACACACTGGAGTTGACACTCAGTCCACTCTGGCCCTGCTCTCCTCTGCAGCTCTCTGCACACTGCTCTCTCATCACCACCTCACTTCAACCACATGGGTCTCCAGTTACACCAGTCAATGTACACAATCCCTCAACACCCCCAGAGAATTTGCACAGCTTATTTCTTCTGCTTTGAAACTAACTCATGTGCAAGTTCCATCCCTCAATAAACCCTTGCTTCCTGATAACCTGCAAATCCTTGCTCAAAGTACATGAGTCCACAATTAGGACAAGCTGCTCTATTTTAAGCTCCCAGGACACCTTCACCTCCTCCTTTGTGGTATCTTAGTTCCTAATTATACGTGCAACTGTTTCTCTCCTCCCTGGACTGACTATAAGCAGCTTCATGAAGGTGGACAGTATTGTCCTTTTATCAGTACAGTCCACCAGAGTGGAGATATGTTCTTTTTTTTGTCTTTTTTATCAGTACCAGGGATCAAACTCACGACTGCCTGCTTGCAAGGCAGGCGCTTATGCCGCTGAGCTAAATCCCCAGCCCCTGGAGATAAGTTCTTGACTGAACAATGGCTTGGGGCTATCAGAGCCTGTTACACATCCATTGCCAAAACAGGGCTAACTCTGCTAGGCAGACCACATAGCCGAATGTGCACCATTCTATTTAGTGCGCCCATGCCACAGGAACAACAGTTACGAGATAGGTTTTGTTTATAATCATCACTATAAATTTTTTGTTCCTATACTTCTATAGCCAAATGAATGTTAAGCACAAAGTTCAAGACACATCCGAGCAGCAATTCTGCAGAGAGGACTCTGGCAATGGGTTACTAAGAAACACCATCAACAAGAAGGAAAACATACATTTCAGCCAAAGGAACTCTTTGATGACAATACTGGCAAATGGACATATGCACATGTGTATACACACACACCCAAAGCAGTAGTTCTCAGAGCAGGGGCCAGGAAAGACTGAGTTTACTTTGAGATAGCACACAAACTGAAGGTCTGACAGGCTCCTCTGCCACCTCTCTTCTCACCCCCACGGCCTGAGCCAACATGGCACTCAAGAGTGGCATATACCAACTATGTTCACCCATCTGCCTTACAGATCAACAATCAATCAGCATTTTCTAACTCACTGTGTAGAATGTTTTAAATGGCTTACAGCTGTGGTTAATTTTTTAAAAATGTTCCCCTAACATTTTAGTCCTCTCATAATGATGGGACTGAGAAAGAAACTGGTAGGAAGTTGTCCCAAAGTGTACCTGGCTCTAACTTTGGAGGGAGTCAATTTCATCTTTTTGGTCAACAAACAAAACGCACTTCAAATTAGCCAGGTATGATTCTAGATATTGGGGATATACTGAGTGAGATAAAACCTCCCTACTCTTCTGCCAGGAGCTAACTTTCTGGCAGATGGGCAAGGAATATTTAAGAAAAATATAAAACAAGTTAGATGACAGAACAGTGGGCAAAAGCAAAGTAGAGGGTGGTGAGTGGAAATATGTGTTTACATGTAGTAGGGAGTTAACACTGAAATGTGAGGATCAAGAAAATCTCACTGAGAAACATTCAAATGGCCATATGAGCTAAGACCTCAAAAGAATTGAAGAGACTTCATGCAGATGTCCTGGGAAAGACATTTTCAGACAGAGGGATCAGCAGGGGCCAGGGCTCTGAGGCTAAAGGCTGTCCTGGAACACACTGTTAACACTACGAGGAGGTGAGCTCACAGTACTGGGTTCCGTTTGGTGACACTAAAGGTCTCTTTTATTCTGGGAGCCAGGGAATGCGGCTGACATGTTTCAGGCAGGGGCACAAGTATGATGAGATGCTGCACTGACAGCAGACTGAAGACGACAGCAAGGGAGAAAGTAGCAAGACCAGTTACCAGGCTACTGGGACCATCCAAGACATGGTGAGGAGATGAGAGTTGCTTGGGCTATGGTATGGCCATGAATGTCCTCCTATAAAGTTGTCAGATTCTTTGGAAACTTGGAAGAAAGGTCCTGGGACTAACTCTTGCTCCTTAGAGAGCTGAGCACAATGTTTTTCATGCTTTCTCACTGCTATGGTTTGTAGCCAAAGTGTCCCCTAAGGGTGCCCATGGTAGCACTATTGGGAGACGGCTAGAGCCTTTGAGAGGTGAGATCTTGTGGGAGGTTGTTGCATAACAGGTGCTGTGCCCCTGAGGAGGACTGTGGGACTGCAATCCATTCCCATTCCCTGTTCCCTCTTCTGCTTCCTGACCTTGTGCTCTATGGTTCTGCACAGACTCCCACCATGTTGTACAGCATCATCACAGGCCCAAAAGATCCTGGAGTGGAGCCTTCAAAATCCTTAATGCAGCCAAAATAAAATTTTCTGTTTATAAGCTAATTATCTCACGTATTTGGAATGCTTAATAAAACAATCATGTATTTTTGCTTTAATCATTTTATTAGCAGTGAGTTTTAATCTAGTGTAGAACGTATCATTACAGGTAGCAGAAATAAACAATAAACAAAAATCCTTGTATCACATTATAAAAGAACTCAACATACAAGTATTTCCTGTACTAGTCACAGCGATGTATTTAGTATTTTTCTTTATTCTGAAAATAAGACTTCTTCTCTAGTTAAGAGAAAAGACCACTCTGTTCATGTGGCCATAGTAGTTAAAAAAAATCCCCATGGTTTTTTACTTTAAAGATCTATTGATATCCAACATGATAAACACCAAATAGAATTAATCTTTAAAAAAAGTTCAACACACTGGAAATGTACTTCAGTACAAGGACTAGGAAACTTAGCAAGAGTCTGTCAGAGCGGGGGAGGGACCTCAGTGTGGGGGCTCTGGGCTCAATTCCAAGTCCTACCACCAAACCAAACCAAAAAAAAAAAAAAAAAAAAAAGACAGAGAGACACAAAAAAACTCCACAAAAACACTACAAAAAAAATAAACAAAACCCTTCAGTATTTTCTAGGACAAAGATTCCACGGATATTTGTGAGAAAGACACACTGTTCACTTTTCATTTCTTTTCTTCCATTTCATTTCTTCAAAATCCTCAGATAAATAAAAGGAGATAGTATGGAAAGGAGAGCAAGTCAGCAAGCGTAAGGGAGGTGGGCCTTGCAAGGCTGTCCCTCTGGAATCCTGGAAACCATGGAGAGAAAAGGGGATCAGGAAGGCAGAGACAGGAGCATAGTGAGCAGTCACTTTGGAGGGAAATTAGTTTGAATGAACTTAGCACCACTTTGGAGAGCTGTGTGATATATCTAAGAGACTACAAGCAATTGTTGATAGGTTCTCAGAGGACCAACTAGAAACTACCATGGAGTAGCATACAGGGGATAAAACTATTAACCACAATCTATTAAAAGAAGGATAAACAAAGATTTACACCCCTTGGGGCAAGGTTTAAAGAAACACACCACCACCTACACAGAAAGGCAAGTACCTGAGAGCAAACAGATTCATTTTATGACTCCTAAGTCTTGAACTAAGGTTACACAGAAAATGAGTCAAGCAGGCTCAGGATAAGAAAACACTGCAGAGTCAGGAACACCCACCATTAGCACCACTGAGGCAGCCTCACCCCACCACTGCCACCTGTTCCTCCCCAGGACCCAGCATGGCACATAGGCTAGGTTGCATGTCACTCCTCAATGATTTCACAACTGCATGCGTCACAGGCATTGTGCCTTCAATATTGTGTATTTCCCAGCGAGTCCTTCAGCCTTGCAAACTTGGTTTCAGTCCAACCTTCTCTGTAGATCTTGAGCTCACTCCCTTCTGAGCAGAGTGGCCGGCAGCGCTGTTCCTTCAGGCAGCTTCGACATCTGCCTGTGCTGTGAATACCAGGTGCCCTCCGCATCCCACTGAGTCCCCACAGTTAACTTCCACAGCATGGGACTGATGACAGGAAG